TCTATGTTTTTATTTGTTACCAGGAATCAAACTCAGGATCTTGTGCTTACCAGGCTGGTACTTATACCACTAAGCTATCTCCCCAACCCAAAGTTTTAGATTTCTTTTGTTCTCTCTATCATTAGCAACTTAGAGGTCTAGGATGTGTCTTATTAATTTTCACGCTTGTAAAAGTCCTGGCATATAAATTTTAAAACTGAGCCTTTATGCCAAGATGATAAAGTACTGCACAATGTAGTTCAATATGTCATATATACCTATGATTGAAATATATGGCGAATGCTTAAATTTAACACATTTGTTACAGTAAAAGACACTGTCATTAAGGCCCTTCGCTTTGCACACACTTATCCCATGATTGTTGCCATTTTCTAAGGCAGTTCCAGAAGTACTGTATCCCGAATGCCTTTGCAACATGTGGTCAAGCACAAGGCAAAAGCTGCTGCCGAAGGCCATGCAAGGGAAAGGCAGGCTTATCAGAACATCGCTGTGTGTTCGCTTCTATCTCATTCCCCAGATCTGACCCCATGTGACTTCTGGCTCTTGTCCAAGGCCGAAATGACCACGAAAGGTAAATGTTCTGAGACAATTCAGGACATTGAGGCAGGCTTGACTGCTCAAATAAAGACACTAAAGATGACTGATAAGGTTATAAAGGACCTGAAAACTTCCTTCCACATAGTAACAACATAGCCATGGTACTAGAGTAGCACACTATACTGTATGCTTGTGATGATGCTGCTGGAAAGAAAATCCAGGCTGTGCAACAGTGTAGCACAAACAGTTGTGTACAGTGCATACCACCCGATAATGAAAATAAGTGACTAGGTCTAGTTTGTTTATTTACTATGCTATATTTTTATCATTATTTAGAATGTATTTCTACTGTTTTTAAGAAAAGTAAACTGTAAAACAGCCTCTAGTAGGTCTTTGAAGAGGGATTACAGAAGACATTATTGGGACAGGAGATGACAGCTACACGACTGCTATTGTCTCTCACAGACCTTCCACTGGGACAAGACGCGGGGGTAGAAGGAGGAGCTAGTAACAATCCCGACCTGTGCAGGCCTAGGCTAACGTGTGTGCTTGCATCTTCATCGTTGCTAATAAAAATTATAAAAAAGCAAAAAGAACTAGAAAAAAAGAGTAAGGATATAAAAAATGTTGACAGAATGCTTTCCTAGGATGCATGAGGCCCTGTGTTTAACCACCAGTATATGACAGAGAGACTATTTTTATAAAGCTGTACAATATGTTTATTGTATTTTAAACCAAGTGCTGTTACAAAACAGTCAAAAAAATTCATTGCACAGTTTAGACAGTAAAGAAGTTAAAATGAGCTAAAGATAATTTAGGAATGAAGAAATAAGTAGTGCAGCTTAAGCGTGCATTGTTATTAAGGCCACCGCAGAGCAGTGAAACCCCAGGCCTTTGTTGCCACTCCCCACTCGCTCACTGACTCACCGGAGCAACTCCTACTTCTGCAAACTCTACCTATTTTTTTTAATCTTTTGTACCATATTCTTGCTGTACCTTTCTATGCTCGGATATGCCTGAACATGCAGACACTTGCTATTGTGTTGCAATCGCCTAGAGTACCAGTATGAGTAACAAGCTGTGCAGGCATGTTAACAGCATGTTAACATGTTGACATGACTTCCAGGCATGTGCTGGAAGCAGTGGGCTACACCATACAGCTTAGGTGTGAAACAGGCTATCCCACCTAGCCTTGTATACTTATACCTCATGGTGTTTGTGCAAAAATTCAATTGCTTAGTGACACAATTTTTAGGTCATAAGCAACCACATGACTACAAAGAAAAGTAGAAAAAGGTGGTCTCAGTGGCCTGTGCTGACACACAGCCATACTTATATTCATTCTTCCTCAAGGCCACATTCTCACTAGAAGAGCCCGATGGGGTAGGGGGAGGCAGAATGCATGCACAGCTATTTAATTTATACACATGTATTTCTATGGGACAGATTTACACAAATTCTCCCCTGGTGCAGTTGAGAACTAGCCTAGACACTCTAAGGAACATATGGCATATGAAACATAGTCATTTACTGAAGCATTTTATATTTGGGCAGAATAATAAGTTTGATATTCATAAAATAATGACTTAACAATACAAAAGTTGGCTACTAAAGTACTAAATTATATTATATAATTGCACACTCCAAACGATCAAAAAAATAAATTTACAGTATTCTTCAGCATGTTTTAGATATACTGCATTTCATATTATTTCACAGTCTAGGGTTCAGGAAACACACATTTGTTAGGTAGAAGAGAACTTCAAAGGAGGAGGTAAGACATAAGTAGGTGGGCTCTTCATGAGCCCATAGAGGAAAATGACTCTCAGTGACCATGATAATTTTCTTAGTCTGGGCCTTTTGTCAAGCACTTACTATGAGGTAGAAACTCTGCTGGATATCACACACCATTTCCAACTCTTCCAGGAATGCTAAAAATGAGCATCAGCCTTCTTTTACAGATAAGAAAACTAACACAGGGAGAAATCTAACCATGGGCCCAAGGTCACTGCACAGGAAGAGACAGAATCAGGATATCTGCCTTGAACTGGAACTTCCACCTCCATCCACCACAGCTGTGGAGGCTGCACAGCCGTACTCTAGAATGGACAGCAATCAGGGCAGAACACCTTCTCCGAGAGCCTTTACCTGAGGCTTCTATGAAATAGGTCTGTGAAATAAAAGAGAAGTTCTCTTGTCATTTTTTCAGGCTTATGGCAAAACTCCATAAAAGATCTGCCTGGAATTTGGCTTTCAGTTGTATTCTTGCAAAAGTTGGAATATACTTCTAGGATCTATTGGTTTCCCTGAACCATGTAGTGCTACTAGAGGAAGAGCATTTTCTTTACCACAGGAGGAACCTTACTTTCTCTTTACCATGACGAAGGCTTTGCTCTGTTTGCAGAAGCTTGGGTGTAATGAAGGAAGTCTCGGTACATAACTGACATTTGTCAGCAAGGGCTGGAAGTGGAGAGTCTGTCACTTTAATTCTATTAAAAGAATCTTTTTGGTTTACCCACCTGATAAGTATGTATGAACCTGCACCAGCAGAACATGAGAAGTGTTTGCTGGACTCAGTGATGCTAGAAGATATTTTAGGAAGACATAGAGGTTGCTCTCTGCTAGCAGTTCATCATTGCATGACCAAAATCATTATCCAATTTACTAATTTTTGATCCCTTTGAAGTAATGGATCCCTTTAAAAATTCAATGAGATCATGAATTTTCTCTCTTTCCCCAACAATATTACATAGACTACACATCAACCCTCTGATTCTACAAGCATTTCAGGTTTAGAGATTGAAATACCCTTGATGTCTTTTTATTTTATTGTATCAGTTATTTAATTAGGTTCTTAGAAATTTAGAACACTAATTTATCAGTATAAATTCCATTTGTCAAAGCAAAAACACATCACAGGTCACCCCAGAGCTGAGGAATAGCTTTGATTTTTGCTAAAATCTGTCAGTCCACTGCTTTCTGATCTAGCTTGTGCTGCTCTGAAATCTGGTATCTCTCTCAGTGTCGAAGATCTTGCCCTCCTGATGTCTGGGTTTCCACAGCTTCTTCTTGAAGTAAGCATCAGTGAGATGTTTGGAGATTTTTCTTTGCTGATAAAAATTTTTGTAGAGGTGGCAATGACAAATTTCTGATGTGTTCTTCACAGAGGAACATGATTAAGGCTAAGAGGCCCAGTCATAAGTAGCAAGCCAATGGCCAACTGCTTCAGGAAGACCACACTCTTGCCTCTGTGACGCCCGAGGAGGATGATCAAGATGGTGCCAGGAGTGATGCTAGCTCGAAGTTTCCTCACATGCTGACAGAAGCGTTTCTTGCCATGGCTCAAGAGTTTTTGGGGCACATCTTCAGTAGGATAGTATCTAGGCATTTTTCAAAGCTTTGGGGGGAACTACCCGCTTCCCCCCCCACCCACCCTGTCCCTTTCTTCGGACAGGAGCTTTCTTTCTCTCAATAAATATATTCTGCTCACAAAAAAAAAAAAAATCTTAACTACCTTAAGGTATCTCCATTCTTGTCCCCACTGACTGGTTTTGTGATTGTAGCAAGAACTTTCTCCTTCTTTTTCTTCTAAACCTTTGATTTAACAGTTGTGTACTTTCTCTTGTACAAACCCTTTCTGGAATCCATAGCAGATCGGGAGTATCTACCAATTTCTCTAACCAGAACAGGATTTCAGCTGCAGTGGGGCTGCCCCTTCTTGGACTTTTTTGCCTTCACCTTACTCTTTTTACCAGTACTACTGGCAGCAGCCTTCTTGGCTTCGGATTTCTTCTCTTTAGTGTCTGACTTCTCAGTTTTTTCACCCACCATTTTGCAAGATGGGAAAGACATTTGATATCTTTGCCTAAAGCACTGCATAAGAAAAGCTGTCAGGACACACCGGGCTTTGCTCAGTAGGAAAGAAATGTGATGCCTGATCTAAGTCAGGGAAGACACCAACAGCGTGCAAGATGGACGGTGGTAGACCATGAATCCCCCATTTCCAATCTTAAATGATGTTTGCTATGACTAAAACAAGGTGTAATCAAAAAATACAATGAATGTTTAAATTTAAAGATTATGATATACAGTAAAATTATATCCCCTTTAATTCCTCTAAAATGTCCCCCTCACTTTGAACAAACTTATTCTGCCATTCTTGCCACCTCTGGAAACAAGTTCTGGAAGTCTTCTCTCACCAGCATCTTCGCAAGATCTGACCAAAAATATGGTGAGGGCTGCTGCTGAGTGCTCTCCAGTAGAAAAACAGAATTCTAAGACTGCTACAGTGTGTCTCTTCCATTGTAGTCACCACATCTAGCACCATATGACCTCTGACGCTTCTCCAAAGTCAAATGATCCTGAAAGGTGCTTTGAGTTGACTCAGGATATTGAGGCAGCCATGACAGTACAACTCATTGATGACGTGCAGGACAGAGCATTCCAGAACTGCTTCCAAAAGGGCAAGAATGATGGGATAAGTGTGTTTGAAATGAGTGGAGTATTTTGAAGGGAATTAAGGGCAGTATGTCTTCTATTGTAATCAATGTTTAAAACTTAAACATACACTGAATAAGTCAGTCTACAGGTTCCTGCTTGTGAGTCTCCTTACCATAGCCACAGGAAAGCAGAGATTTAGTCTATCATATACACCAGAGCCTGAAACAACACCTAGAAGAGAAAAAGGTGCTCCACATACACAATTCAGCGAATAATTATGGCCCCTTGAAGTTATGAAGGTAAAGATGTTTACTGCCTTCTGTGTGAATCAGTACTTGCTTTTATTTATATTAAAACTACATACTTCATTTCAAGTGCCGTAGTCTATTGGTACGATGCTGAAATTCATAGGATAAAACTGTATTTGGTTTTTAGCATTTTCATGAATTTTAACTATGTAGTGTTTCCTTTGTGAATGTTGGGGAATTTTGTCTTTTTCCATATCGAATGACTGCTATCTTAACCGTACAGGTCTAGTGACTTCAAGGACAAAATAGAGTCCATGAGAACAATTATAATATAAAGAAAATATTGGGCATCTAAATTTTTAAAAGTCAGCATCTCTGAGTATTCTTGCTTAGCCAGTACTGTACATACTGATATAAATACTGAATATTGAAATATTAACATAAATAAGCATTTTTTATTGACAACAGCTAAGGAAGGTGTAGAATTAGTGTGGCTTCTGTGCTTAAAAACTGTTTCCTCAAATGGCTTAAATATGGCCTTTGTGATTTGTTCCCATTTCAATTAATTCAAGAACCATTTTCCCAATTATAGGACAAAGCAATTTTAGCACATGTTAAATTTTCACAGATTCTGAGTTGGAAGACTACAAATTAAAGAAGTTGTGTTTTATGTTGTAATCGGTATTCCTAAATTTAATCAAAGGCAGTACTTTAGCTTCTATTTGTTTGTTTAATTTGGAGGAAAAACTAGTAAAAACGATGATAAACAGCATCTGATTGCTTATGGTACAAGACAACGCTTCATCTCGAAATTATAGCCCATAAAACTCCACAAGTCTGTGAGGAACAAAATTTTGCATTTAGCATCAAGTATACACATTTAGCATTCATGCTTTCCACTCTGCATTCACTGCCAACGTTTTCAAGATATCTGGCTGATAAAGGAGCTGGCAGGAACCTAATAAGAACAGAAGTTAGCAGTAGAAAGTAAAGCCTCTTTGCATTTGTTACTACTGGGTTTTTTTAGGCTGCTTGCCTCACAAGGCTGAGGCACTCAAAGGAGTTGACTTGGAGACACACGCACACGGTGCTTCACACCACTCCATCCTCTGCGTGTGCGTTCATGCGCCTCCTCACACACGGGCTGTCTTGTTGCCACATGTGCCATTAATTGGCAAGAACGCTGCTCATAGTTGGCTGATCAAGATAGAGGCTGTGTAAAGGAACAGGATTAGAGACAGCCCAGGGTTTCCTTTTCAAGGAGGTTTAAAACATTTTTTTTTCCTCACTAACTTCCTTCCTGTTCTAACTGCCAGTGCTCAGAAGTCAGAGTTGAGAGACAGAGGCACACGACAGAGACCTGACGCATTGCATGTGAGTTCAAACGCCGCAGGGTCGGGGAGGTGGAGGTGGGCTCACAGGGGTGTGGGGTCTGTCTGTACCAGGCTACTGCCCTTGGCAGAATTTTTTTAAGAGCACAGTTCTCTTTGCCACAAATTTGATGATAACAGAGTGCTCAAGAGGTTGCTAGGGTTCTGCCGAGGGGGAGGTTAGAGCAATGAGTCCAGGGTGCAGCTAGAGGGAGGGCAGGAGGCACTGCAGCCAGGGAAAGCAGCCAGGCTGCGCCCCGGAGGGCCTCAGAGCGTACCTGCGGGGGAGAGCTGGAAAGGCTTCCCACGAGGGGGAGCCGGCACCTGGCCAAGCTCAGAGCGCGAGAGGCTGCAGGTCCAAACTGATAGGGATCGCCCTGGTGTGTCTTGGGCTTCGCTGGGGTGGAGATGTGCGGTTTCCTGTTTTTAAGCAGACTGTTTAATGAGACTGGCTCAGCGGAGAAAAAAGTGGCTCAGAGTTGTCACATACCAAACTGCTTTCCGCTTAAGACCTGTCTGGTGGTATAAGCAAAATGCACAATGGAGTCCTCCCTTCCAGTAAAGGAAGTTGGTTGTTCAGGAGAAGCGTGGTAGGATTTACTGCCTTTTCTGTCAGGCACTGAGAGAATTTCTACCAGGAACAAAAAGAGCTTAAATTCCCTCAGTGGGATCAGGCAGAAACTTATCCAGTGTGATGCCATGGGGATGGGCGGGGGAGCCCTTTACACCCGAGAGAACTAAAAGTAACCACGAAAATACTAAATAATTGCTTAAAGAGACAGAGTCTAGAAGAATCCAAATGGCTCCAACTAGGACACTGGTTACTGGATCTTCAAACTATCAAGCTCTTAGGGCCGGGGAGATGGCTCAGTGGAATAAGCGTTTCCCTGGCAAGCGCAAGGACCTGAGTTCAATCCCAGGTTCTGAAAAAAAAAAAACCTATCAAGCTCTGAACTTTGGCCACCATCAGATATGCTTTAGACATGGCTGAAATACTCTCCTCCCTTTTAGAGGACTTCCCAGCCAGTATCTGCTGCCCGTTCTGTGATTGAAGTCAGACCTGGGGTAGTTTGTGATGTGGATCTGATAAGCCTCAGGCTTCATTCCAGGTGAGGAGGGAGGGGACTACGGCCACACCCAGGCCTCACTGCCGTCCCTGTATAGAGATGAGAGCCACCGTAGCAGAGCTGGCAGTGTTCAGTCCTCACTGCAGAAATAAGCAGAGAGTCAAGGGAAATCAAGAGGTCAGAGGTCACCTGTTGACTAGGGGTCCAGTCACCAGCAGGTATCACCAGTGTCACAATTTCTTATTGCTAAATAGTTAAGACAATTATGGGCTACTGGACTCTTTTAGAATATTTTGCTGAGTTTACACAGCTATAATATTCAGTAACGGAACTTAGGAAAAATGGGGTACACCGATGAATGTCCATTCTGTATCTGTGTATTCAAAGTGGTTGGGGTAGATATATAGTTGCATTGTCTTAATGACTGGAATGATTTGTTCTAATGGTGTTTGTAAATAGGATCACAAGTCCGCATCTTGTACAGCAATTAACCACTAAGAAGAATATATGCAGTGTATTATTTGTTGAAACTGTCCTTCCGATTTGATTTGAAACTGTCTCATTGCTATATGTTTATCAATAAAACTGTAGAAAAAAAATAAATAAAAAAATAAAAAATAAAATAAATAAATAAATAAATAGTTAAGACAGTGTCCCTCCCAGTTCCACATAGAGCATAAATGTAGTAATACGGTCATCTTACTCTTTTATAAGATATGGAAACTTCTGAGAGAGCAAATCATTCTTCTACCATGTTGCACAGTTCCATCCTAAGAGGGAGAACTATGTCATAGCCGGTGGGCATCCTCCAGGCCCTGGGATGGTGTCCTTCTTTGTTTGATAGAGCATGAGTTTGTCCCAAGGAGGTATGTGCTGAGCAGCTGAGGTGCTGGGTTGATGGGAGCCCGACACAGCCAAGCTATCCTGAGGAACATTTATAAGAACACAGTATGCAACAAACTTCAGTTAGTAGGAGGAAAGGAGCCCTGGGCAGTAAAGACTAAGCGGACAGAAAAAGGAGAACCGACCTTCTTCCCTTGCCTTCTGTGTGCAAGGCGTGGCATTAGAGACTTTTCAATTTTCATCTCAGGAAGACAAGGGAAGAACATTAAGACTCAGAAATGTTCAGTGTCTGATGTCACACACTGATACAAAAAGAATTTGATTACTACAATGCCTCAGAATGGGATTTTATTATTTTTTTAAATACAAAATAGTAAAAAAAAAAAAAAGCATCAGAAATGATACAACATTTCATTAAACAAATTAATAAGAATTCAACAATGGTTGCTGTATTGCATGATGTTATCTTCAAACAACAAATAACAAAATAGCTTAATTATTTAAGTCACCAATTATAAACCTTCAAAACTGGTCTTTAAAAAAATGGAACAAAAAACACCAATAAAAACATGATAAGAAATTAAAAAGTAAAAAAAAAAAAAAGAATAAAAAGTAAAACATTTTAAGCATTAATTTTCTCAAATGTCTCATGGAAGAAATTTTCTCTAATTCCTTGTGGCCCGATAAGTGATCTTATAACCTATGATGGAGCCCACAGTGACAACAACAACAGTCTCTTGGTGTCCCTGAAACTCTGCCAGCATCCATCTATTCCATAAGCATTTAGCAAACAATGCTGTGTTGTATTAAATTTGCACTCCGGCTTTAGCCAGAGTTGGCAATAAACATACTTGGGCTTCTTTCAACAGTTTCTTGTTCTAAGCACAAGTGATTAAATTGTCTCTGATGTCTAATATTTCACTCCTAATTTAAAACTTCTGTGAACACATAGACTTGTTGGAGTATAGTCCTTGGCCTAGCAATGCTTTCCGACAACACACATCTTTCCTTGAGGGTTATTTGGTCCGAAAGGGACTCCACAAGGTGGATCCTCAGGAAGGCTCGATGGCTCCGCTGAGTTTTCTGTCCTTTTGCATGAAAACCCATGTTCAAAGAGCATACCATGAAGGCACAGGCAAAAAAATGTGGTATTTTTCTCACAAAGGGAAGTGTGAAAAAATTCTGCTTCTAGAAAATTGTATCCTCTTCTGGATTAATTATGATATTTGTTGAGTATGAAAAGATAAACCCTTAGGTGATGGTTTGGCTCTCCTCACCCAGTTTTGACATTTCAGCCGTTCTGGGGGCTGAGCTGTTCCAAGGCACCCCTGAGTCAGGGAGGGAATACCACTCCTCTACGTTGCCAGGGATGCTGAGAGACCCGAGGATTCCACAGGAGAGAGAAGCCCCTCTGGGGTCCTGAGATAAACCTGGGTCCCCAGATGTGCCAGATAGCAGGCAAGCAGCAAAGCAGACCCATTCTTCCTAGCTCTGAAATGTCCAAAGTTTTTCAGAGACCCCCAGCTTTCAAGGACCTATTCCAGACAAGCAACCCTGAATTCAGAAAGTAGGACACACTCCAGACACTAGGGAGCAGAAATCAGGTGACAACAAATGCTGAGGGCCATACAGGGACTTTTCTAAGGGAAAGTCCCACCTCTGGTACTTCTATACTTTTTCCTCTCTGTCTCTGTCTCTCTCTGTCTCTCCATCTCTCTCTGTGTGTCTCTGTCTCTCTCTTGCTCTGTCTGTCTGTTTCTGTCTCTCTGTCTCTGTCTCTCTCTCTG